GCGTGAGCCTGACCCGTCGCGTGCTGCTCACCGCCCGCACCGAACAGGGCGTGTTGCTGCCTCGCGGCGCCAGTGTCAGCACCGCCAACGGCGAGTTCGTGACCTTGGTTCAGGACGGCGGCCAGGTGTTTCTGCCCAATGTGCTGGCCTCGTCCGGCCTGTGGGTCAGTGCCCCCGGTTTGCCCCGTTGTCGCTTGCAGTTCGAGCTGCCGGATGAGGGCGATCCCGAGGTGTATTTCGAAACCGCACTCGCGCGCTGTACCCCATCATGAGGACCGTAACCATGCCCCCTATTCGCCTGCTGCGGCAGTTGACGGCCGCATCGCTGCTCATCGTCGGCGCCACAGCCAACGCGTTGGCCAACGACGAGTGCCAGTTGACCCTCAGCGAATCGCTGCTGGACCTGGGCCTGATGAACCGCCTGGCGCAAACCGACAGCGCACCCCAGCGCCTGCTCGGCGAGCGCCGCTTGCGCCTGACCCTTGCGTGCCCGCAAGCGCAGGACCTGAGCGTGTTTTATCGCGCCCTCGCCGCCAGTGCCGAACGCCTGCAATTCACCGAACACGGCAGCTACGCGCTCGAACTCAGTGACGGCGTAGTGGATGGTCGGTCGGTGGAGTTGGGCTTGATGCCCGTGGCCGGGCAACCGCCAGCCGTGGTTGGCCCGCGCTTGACATGGCGCACTGGTCACCTGGTGGCCCCCGTGCAAGGCGGCGCGGTGGTACAGGGTAAAACCTTTTCCCTGCAACTGAGCCTCAGCGCCTGGGCGGACAGGGCCGCAACCTACGTGCGGGACGCCACCACCTGGGAGGTCAACGGGACGTTCGAGGCCCAGCGCAGCGGTCGTTACCGTGAACTGACCCTGCGCGCGCACTTCGCGCCGGTGGCGTGCACGCCGCAGTTGTCCAACGGCGGCCTGGTGGATTACGGCACCTTGCTGGCCAAGGACCTGAGCGTCACAAACGAAACCCCGTTGCCCACCCGCACCCTGCAAATGACCGTCAGTTGCGACGCGCCCGTGCCCTTCGCCTTGCGCATGCACGACAACCGTGAAGGCTCGGCCACCGGCGGCACCGACGAGACCGCATACGGCCTGGACCGCGACGGCAGCCAGAACAAGATCGGCCGCTTCTACGTGAACATCGACCCGGAAGACTTTTCCGCCGATGCCTACGGCGCGCTGTATCGCACCGACTCCACCAGCAACGGCGCCGCCTGGAGCAGCGCCAGTGCGCGGCAGATCCCCATCGCCGCCAACAGCTATATGGGCTTCACCCACCTGGCGGGCAGCACCCAAGGCCCGGTGGCGATCCAGCACCTGAGCGGCACGTTACGCATCAAGGCTTACCTGGCGCCGACCCAATCCCTGGATCTGCGTCAGGTGGTGCAGATCAACGGCTCCGGCACCCTCGAAATCATCTACCTCTAACTTCTGGAATTGACGCCATGAACGCTTATCCCATCGTTTTTTACAGCCTGCTGTTATTGACCGCCACGGCCCACACCCAGGCCGCCTCCAGCGTCGATCTGACGGTCAAAGGCGTGGTCACGCCCACCGCCTGCGACCCTCAGTTGTCCGGCGGCGGGCTGATCGACTACGGCAAGATGTCCCAGCAGGATCTGAACCTGGAGACCAGCACGCGGCTGCCGATCAAACACCTGCAAGTGAGCATCGCCTGCACGGCGCCAAGTCGTTTTGCGCTGCGCATGCGCGACAATCGCGAGGGCACCGCAACGGTCAACAGCGAGATTTACTACGGGCTCGGACTGGACAACAGCGGCAACCGGCTTGGGCTTTACTCGATGACCTTCGACCCCCGCAACACGCTGGTGGACAGCACCGTGACGGTGTACGGCACCGAGTCCACCACCGGCGGCCTGGCCTGGCGCACCGCCAACCTCAACCCCATTGATATCGGCGCCAATAGCTACCTGGGCTTTACCGCCAGGCAGGGCAGCACCGCCGGGCCTTCGGCGATCCAGGAGCTGATCAGCACGGTCAAGGTCCAAGCGGTGATCAACGCACGGCAGAACCTGGACCTGAGCACCGACACCCTGCTCGACGGCTCGGCGACTCTGGAAGTGATCTATCTCTAGCGTTTCTCGCTGGTGACCTGCACATAACGCGCACGCCCTGCGCCCAGGCCGGCAATGATCGCGCCCAGGCCGATCACCGCGAAAATCCAGCCGATGGCGCTCCAGCCGCCGGTCCAGTCGTGTACCAGGCCGACCGCAAACGGGCCGAGGGACGCCAGGGTATAGCCGAAACCCTGAGCCATGCTCGACAGGTTCGCGGCGACGTGGGCATCCCGCGAGCGCAGCACGATCAAGGTCAATGCCAGGCTGAAGGTGCCGCCCTGGCCCAGGCCGAGCAGGATCGCCCAGCCCCACAGACCGTCCAGCGGCGCATAGAGGCAACCGAACAACCCGCCGAGGGTCAGCAGCATCACCACCACGATCGCCAGGCGCTGGTCGCGGCCACGAGTGGCCAACCAGGGCGCGGCCAGCGAACTGATCAATTGCAGGATGATCGAGCCGGACAGCGCCAGCCCGGCCTCGGTTGCGCTGAGGCCGCGGCTGATCAGAATCGACGGCAGCCAGCCAAACACGATGTACGCCAAGGACGATTGCAGGCCCATGTACAACGTCACCTGCCAGGCCAACGGATCGCGTAACAAGCCTTTGACCTGATACGCGACGCGATGGGCGCCGTGTCGTTGCCCGACCTGGGGCCACCACACCAACGCCGCCACCACCGCCGGCACCATCCAGAAGCCCAGGCCCATGCTCCAGCGGTCGCCGAACACATGGCTCAGCGGCACTGTCGCCCCCGCCGCCAGCGCGGCGCCCAGGCACAACGCCATGGTGTACACGCCGGTCATGGCCCCGGCCTGGCGAGCGAAATCACGCTTGACGATGCCCGGCAGCAACACGCCGATAATGCCGATGCTCGCCCCGGCAATCAGGCTGCCGGCAAACAGCCCGACCTCACCGAATGCACTGCGCAGAATGATGCCACCGGCCAGTGTCAGCACGATCCCCAGCACCACGCGCTCGGCGCCGAATCGCCGCGCTAGAATCGGCGCCAATGGCGCAAACAGCCCCAGGCACAGCACGGGCAAAGTGGTCAGCAAACCGGCCTTGGCCGCCGACAAGCCCAGGCTGGCCGACACATCGCTGAGCAACGGCGCCATGCTCGACAACGCCGGGCGCAGGTTCAACGCCACCAGCACCAGGCCCAGCAGCAACAGCCACGGGCGGCTGACCTGCGGCGGGGTGTGCTGGACCTCGTCGTCATCGGCCTCGGCATCGATCAGCAGTTCTTCGAGTTCGGGTGTGCGTTGGGCTTCAGGGTTCATGGATCAACTGTCGGCAGAGGGATTTGGCGCGTTCCGGGTCTTGCTGCTCCACCGCTTCAAGCAAGGCGCTGTGCAGGTCGAACACCGCCTGGCGGCGTGGTGAAACACTGAGGGTCTGACGCAACTGGGCGCCGACGATGGCGGAAAAATACTGGTACAACTCGCTCAACGCCGGGTTGTGCGCGGCATCCACCAGGCGGGTGTGGAACACCAGATCGGCGTGGATATAGGCCTCCAGGTCACCGTGATACAGCGCGGCGCTGGTGCGCAGGGCTTGATGCAACCCCTGCAGGTCTTGCTCGGTACGGCGTTGCGCCGCAAGACCAATGGCCTCCACTTCGAGGATCTGCCGGGTCTCCTGCGCCTGCGCCAAGGTGCAGTGGGACAACGCACGCATCGCCCCCAAAGGGTCAGTCATCGAGCGCAGATAACTGCCGTCTCCCTGGCGGATCTCAATCAACCCGGAAAACGCCAGCACCCGCATGGCTTCACGCACGGTATTGCGGCTGATCCCCAGCTCGGCGGACAACTCCGGCTCGGTAGGCAAGCGCTCGCCGACAGCCCATACGCCCTGAGCGATGCGCAGGCGCAACTGTTCAAGGGCCTGGTCGACCAGCGAGCGTTTGATCAATGGGACGCTGTCTGTCATGGATTTCGCGCTTTCGTCCAATCATAGGATGAATTTTCCTACAGCCTATTAGGACTCAGCTACAAAGGCAACGCACTAGGTTATCAGGCGGAAAACGAAGCAAGATTTTCGATTGGTAAAATTACCCTTAAAGGGTAATTATCAACTTAGGTGTCTTATGGAAAAGCACACACCTCATTACGATTTGGCTCAAGTCAAGCAAGAGGTCATCCGGCTAGGTGCGCGCGCTTTCACCGCCAGCGCGCGAGAGGGAGGGCGGCAGCTGGAGTTGAGCCTCGGTCAGATGCGACTTGCCGTTTGCGCTCTGGAAGCTCGAATGTTGTACAAGTCAATGACGACATACGCAGACCATCGGATATGCAGGACGTCTATCTGATCAAGATTTACGGCACGGAGATTTACATCAAAGTGACCTACCGTCCAAGCGGTGGGCCGCCGGTAATCTCCTTCAAGGAGAAAACTTCATGAGAACCCGACAATGCGTGAGCTGCGGCGCTGCTGAAGGCATGCAGCATTTCGAAGGTCGCACTTTCACGATCAATACCCGCGGCATGCTGCGCAAGATTCCTGATATCGCCGGCTGGGAATGCCAGGTCTGCCATGAAAGGGAGTTCGATATGGACACCGACAGTGCAGAGCGTTATTCCACTGCCAGTGATCAACTGTTGGTCGATGCGCGAAAAGTCATTGCCGCCGAAATAAAGCGAATTCGGCGCAAATTACATCTGACCCAAAAGGAGGCTGTGAGGCTGTTGATTGGCCGCGGCCACAACGCATTTTCCCGGTACGAAAGGGCCGAGGTGTTTCCACCTGAGCCATTACTCATCCTGATGCGCTTGTTGGATAAACATCCCCACCTGTTGGCGGAGATAGAGACGCTCAACGTTGGCGAAGATCTTAACCGGCTGCTCATCGCCAAAGACGCGCAACAGCTTTCAGCTCAGGCGTCCTGACACGGTCGACAGGCAAAAATAAACCCGGCGCCAAGGCCGGGTTTATCTTCAAGCATTACCGCAGGATCAATGCAGAATCTGGCTCAAGAACAACTTGGTTCGATCATTCTGCGGGTTGTCGAAGAAGTCATTCGGTGCCGCTTGTTCCACGATTTCGCCTTTGTCCATGAAGATCACGCGGTTGGCCACGGTGCGGGCAAAGCCCATTTCGTGGGTTACGCAGAGCATGGTCATGCCGTCTTCGGCCAGGCCGATCATGGTGTCGAGTACTTCTTTCACCATCTCTGGGTCCAGTGCCGAAGTCGGCTCATCGAACAGCATGATTTTCGGTTTCATGCACAGTGCCCGGGCAATCGCCACACGCTGTTGCTGGCCGCCGGACAACTGCCCCGGAAACTTGTGGGCCTGCTCCGGGATGCGCACGCGCTCCAGGTAGTGCATGGCGATTTCTTCGGCCTTGCGCTTGGGCATCTTGCGCACCCACATCGGCGCCAGCGTGCAGTTCTGCAGGATGGTCAGGTGCGGGAACAGGTTGAAGTGCTGGAACACCATGCCGACTTCGCGGCGGATTGCTTCGATCTGCTTGAGGTCGTTGGTCAGCTCCACGCCATCGACCACGATGCGGCCCTGCTGGTGCTCTTCCAGGCGGTTGAGGCAGCGGATGGTGGTGGACTTGCCGGAACCCGACGGGCCGCACAGCACGATACGCTCGCCCTGCTTGACGTTGAGGTTGATGTCTTTCAACACATGGAACTGGCCGTACCATTTGTTGACGCCCTGCATCTGGATAATGCCTTCAGGGCCCACAGGCTGTTTGATTGCTTCGCTCATCAAAAGAACTCCTAACGCTTGTGGCCTGTGTCGAGCTTGCGTTCCAGGTGCATGGAATAGCGCGACATACCAAAACAGAAAATCCAGAACACCAGGGCGGCGAACACGTAGCCTTCAGTGGCCATGCCCAGCCATTTAGGGTCGGCGGCGGCTTGCTTGACGCTGTTGAGCAGGTCGAACAGGCCGATGATGATCACCAGGCTGGTGTCCTTGAACAGCGCGATGAAGGTGTTGACGATCCCCGGAATCACCATCTTCAGGGCTTGCGGCAGAATCACCAGGCCCATGCTGCGCCAGTAGCCCAGGCCCATCGCTGCGGCCGCTTCGTACTGGCCTTTAGGGATGGCCTGCAAACCGCCACGCACCACTTCGGCCACATAGGCCGACTGGAACAGGATCACGCCGATCAGCGCCCGCAGCAACTTGTCGAAGTTCATGCCTTCGGGCAGGAACAACGGCAGCATTACCGAGGACATGAACAGCACGGTAATCAGCGGCACGCCGCGCCAGAATTCGATGAAGGTCACGCAGACCACACGAATCGCCGGCATGTTCGAACGCCGCCCCAAGGCCAGCACAATACCCAAGGGCAAGGCGCCGGCGATGCCGACGGTGGCGATGACCAGGGTCAGCATCAGGCCGCCCCATTGGCTGGTGGCCACGGTGGCCAGGCCAAATACACCGCCATGCAGCAGGAAGAAGGCGATGATCGGGTACAGCACCAGGAAGCTCAGCCCGTAGATTGCCTTGCGCGGGAAGCGCGAGATGAACAACGGTGCCACGCCGACGATGGCCAGCCACACGGTCAGGTCCACGCGCCAGCGCAGATCGCCGGGGTAGTAGCCATACATGAACTGCCCGAAACGCTGTTGGATGAACACCCAGCAGGCGCCCTCCTTCGTGCAGTCGGCGCGGGTGGTGCCAACCCAGTTAGCGTCCAGGATGGCCCAATGCAGGATCGGCGGCACCACCAGGTACACCAGGTAGATCGACAGCAGGGTCAGCAGTGTATTGAGCCAACTGGAAAACAGGTTGGCGCGCATCCATGCCATCGGCCCGAAGACTTTGCTCGGCGGCGGCATATCAGGTTTGAAAGTATGCGAACTCATGTGCGTTTCCTCACCGCTCGATCAGCGCAATGCGCTTGTTGTACCAGTTCATCAGCAGGGAAATGCTGATGCTGATCGCCAGGTACACGCTCATGGTGATGGCAATGACTTCGATCGCCTGGCCGGTCTGGTTGAGCACCGTGCCGGCAAACAGCGAAACCATTTCCGGGTAACCGATACCGGCGGCCAACGACGAGTTCTTCGCCAGGTTCAGGTATTGGCTGGTCAGCGGCGGAATGATCACCCGCAGGGCCTGCGGGATGATGACCTTGCGCAGCGTCGGACCGTTACGCAGGCCCAGGGAGCGAGCGGCTTCGGTCTGGCCATGGCTGACGGACTTGATGCCCGAGCGCACGATCTCGGCGATAAACGCTGCCGTGTACACCGTCAGTGCCAGGGTCAGCGCCAGCAGTTCGGGGATCAATACCCAGCCGCCGACAAAGTTGAAGCCTTGCAGCTTGGGCATTTCCCAGTGCAGCGGCACGCCGAAGATCAACGCGCACAGTGTCGGGATCACGATGAACAGCGCCAGGCCCGCCCAGAACTTATGGAACGGCACGCCCGTGGCTTCAAAGCGTTTATTGGCCCAGCGCGCCATCATCACGATTGCCACGATGGCCAGCACAATGCTCGCCAAGAACGGCCAGAAACCGTCAGCGGCCAGCGCCGCCGGCATGTTCAGGCCACGGCTACTGACAAAGAAGGTATCGCCGAAATTATGGCTGTTGCGCGGCCCTGGCATGGTCAGGAACACGGCGAAGTACCAGAACAGGATCTGCAACAACGGCGGGATGTTGCGGAAAACTTCCACGTATACCGTCGCCAGTTTGTTGATCATCCAGTTCGACGACAGGCGCGCCACGCCGATGATAAAGCCCAGCAAGGTGGCCAGAATCACGCCGATGAACGTCACCAGCAAGGTGTTGAGCAGGCCGATCACGAAGACCCGGGCGTAGCTGTCCGATTCGGTGTAATCGATCAAATGCTGCGCGATGCCGAAGCCGGCACTGCGTTCAAGAAAGTCGAAACCCGAGGTGATGCCCCGGTGCTGAAGGTTGGTCTGGGTATTGTTGAAGAGGTACCAGCCCAGCGAGACCACCGCCACAATCGTGATGATCTGGAAGAGCCACGCACGCACTTTGGGGTCGCTGAAGCTGAGCTTCTGCTTGGGTGCGCCGATTTGATTTTGCATGAAGTGCCCCGGAAAGAATGGAACAGAACATCACCCGGCGGTTGGCCCACCGGGTGACAGAACCATCAGCGATCAGCGCACAGGCGGTGCGTATTGAATGCCGCCGTTGTTCCACAGTGCGTTCAGGCCACGGTCGATTTCCAGCGGGGTGCTCTTGCCCAGGTTGCGCTCGAACACTTCACCGTAGTTACCGACTTGCTTGACGATCTGTACGACCCAGTCCTTCTTCACTTTCAGGTCTTTGCCGTATTCACCGTCGGCACCCAGCAGACGAGCTACGTCCGGGTTCTTGGTGGACTTGGCTTCAGCCTCGACGTTCTTGGAAGTGATACCGGCCTCTTCCGCGTTGAGCATGGCATAGCCTACCCAGCGCACGATGGCCAGCCACTCGTCGTCGCCGTTACGCACGACCGGGCCCAGTGGTTCCTTGGAAATGGTTTCCGGCAGTACCACGTAATCCTTCGGCGAGGCCAACTTGCTGCGCTGGGCGAACAGTTGGGACTTGTCGGAGGTCAGCACGTCGCAACGCCCGGATTCGAGCGACTTGGCGCTTTCGTCGGAGGTGTCGAAGGTGATCGGGGTGTATTTCAGACCGTTGCCACGGAAGTAGTCGGAAACGTTCAGCTCGGTGGTGGTACCGGCCTGGATGCAGATGGTTGCACCGTCCAGTTCCTTGGCGCTTTTGACGCCCAGCTTGTTGTTAACCAGGAAGCCGATGCCATCGTAATAGGTAATGAAACCCGGGAATTTCAGGCCCATGCCCGCATCGCGGGAGCTGGTCATGGTGGTGTTACGGGACAGAATGTCGACTTCGCCCGATTGCAGCGCGGTGAAACGCTCTTTGGCATTCAACTGGCTGAATTTGACCTTGGTGGCGTCACCGAAGACGGCAGCCGCCACAGCGCGGCATACGTCAGCGTCGATCCCCAGGATCTTGCCGCTGGCATCCGGTACCGAGAAACCCGGCAAGCCGTCACTCACGCCACACTGTACAAAGCCTTTCTTCTGCACAGCGTCCAGGGTTGCGCCGGCTTGGGCGAAACCGCTGACACCCAGTACAGCGGCCGCGCATACGATGGCCAGGGTGGATTTCAATACCTTCATTCAAACCTCCAGTTTTGCTCTTGTTGTGTCGGAGCTCGAATCCCAGCGCACCCTTATGAGGCGATATTGACCCGTGTTGGCTTTTTTTAGGGTCAAGCGGCATGGGACTGTCGCATTAATTCCAGCGGCTATCTCCCAAGCGGCACTCACTGATAGTGTTACCGACCGAGGATAGTTCTGACATCGACCTACACATAGCAAGCGCCGTACCAGAGTGACGGCTGAGTCGTTTCAGCCCAGGTTCAAGGGTAAAAGATTCAACGTTGCGACATCTTGTTAACAAATCAACCCACTGCGCACCGTTCCGACGCACCCAATCGGAGCGAGCGCACGTTTATGGAGCGAACATGACCGACCCCCTTATTCTGCAGCCCGCCAAGCCTGCCGATGCCTGTGTTATCTGGCTGCATGGCCTGGGTGCCGATCGCTATGACTTCATGCCCGTAGCCGAAGCCCTACAGGAAGATCTGCTGTCCACCCGATTCGTCTTGCCCCAGGCACCGATCCGTCCGGTAACGATCAACGGCGGTTACGAGATGCCCAGCTGGTACGACATAACGGCCATGAGCCCCGCCCGCTCCATCAGCCTGGAAGAGCTGGAAATTTCGGCGCAAACCGTAATGGATTTGATCGAAGCGCAAAAAAGAACCGGGATAGACGCGTCGCGAATTTTCCTCGCGGGGTTCTCCCAAGGCGGCGCCGTGGTTTACCACACCGCTTTTCTGAAGTGGCAGGGACCGCTGGGTGGCGTGATCGCCCTCTCCACCTATGCCCCCACGTTCAGCGATGAGCTGGAGTTATCCGCCAGTCAACAGCGCATTCCGACCCTTTGCCTGCACGGCCAGTACGACGACGTGGTGCAGAACGCCATGGGTCGTACAGCAATGGAGTACTTGAAGCACCATGGTGTCACCGTGACATGGCAGGAATACCCAATGGGACACGAAGTGTTACCTGAAGAGATACAAGACATTGGGCAATGGCTGAGCGACCGCCTGCGCTGAAACCCTCGCTTTATGTAGCCGTATGACAGACGCACTACGCCGCGCCCGAATCTTGCATTACACTGGCCGGCGTATATTCCTTAACCAATTAATGAGATCACCGTGCTCAAAGCACTCAAGAAGATGTTCGGCAAAAGCGAGGCTGAGCCGCTCGCGCCTGTTCCCAGCGCCCCTGTCCCGACGCCCGGCAGCCGCAATGACGGTCAACAGCCCGGCCGGACCGCACCTGTGGCCCCGCCCAGGAAGCCATCGGTGACCGCGCCCCGAACAGACTGCACCGGCTGAGGCCACGCCAGCCCCGCAAGCCAAAGCACCGCGCCGTCAACGTGCGCCCAAACCGCCGGTCACCCCATGGAAACTCGAAGACTTCGTCGTCGAGCCCCAGGAAGGCAAGACCCGCTTCCATGACTTCAAGCTGGCTCCGGAACTGATGCACGCCATCCAGGACCTGGGCTTCCCGTACTGCACGCCGATCCAGGCGCAGGTGCTGGGCTTTACCCTGGCCGGCAAAGACGCCATCGGCCGCGCGCAGACCGGCACCGGCAAGACCGCCGCGTTCCTGATCTCGATCATTACCCAACTGCTGCAAACGCCGCCGCCCAAAGAACGTTACATGGGCGAACCGCGCGCGCTGATCATCGCGCCAACCCGCGAGTTGGTGGTACAGATCGCCAAGGACGCCGCCGACCTGACCAAGTACACCGGCCTCAACGTCATGACGTTCGTAGGCGGCATGGACTTCGACAAGCAGCTCAAGCACCTCGAAGCCCGCCACTGCGACATCCTGGTTGCCACTCCGGGTCGCCTGCTGGACTTCAACCAGCGCGGCGATGTGCACTTGGACATGGTCGAAGTGATGGTGCTGGACGAGGCCGACCGTATGCTCGACATGGGCTTTATCCCACAGGTACGCCAGATCATTCGCCAGACCCCGCCGAAAAGCGAGCGTCAGACCCTGCTGTTCTCCGCGACCTTCACCGAAGACGTGATGAACCTTGCCAAGCAATGGACCACCGACCCATCGATCGTGGAGATCGAAGCGGAAAACGTCGCCAGCGAAAACGTCGAGCAGCATATCTACGCCGTGGCCGGTGCCGACAAATACAAGCTGCTCTACAACCTGGTCAACGACAACGGTTGGGAGCGGGTGATGGTGTTCGCCAACCGCAAGGACGAAGTGCGCCGCATCGAAGAACGCCTGGTGCGTGACGGCGTAAACGCCGCGCAACTGTCCGGCGACGTGCCTCAGCACAAACGCATCAAGACCCTGGAAGGTTTCCGCGAAGGCAAGATTCGCGTGCTGGTGGCCACCGACGTGGCAGGCCGCGGGATTCACATCGACGGCATCAGCCATGTGATCAACTTCACTCTGCCGGAAGTGCCGGACGACTATGTACACCGCATCGGCCGTACTGGCCGCGCCGGAGCGGCGGGTGTGTCGATCAGCTTTGCCGGGGAAGATGACTCGTATCAGTTGCCGTCGATCGAAGCGCTGCTGGGGCGCAAGATCAGCTGCGAGACACCGCCGACGCATCTATTGCGGGCCGTAGAGCGCAAACGCCCGTAAGCTGAAATGCGATAAAAAGTGGGAGGGGGCTTGCCCCCGATAGCTATGTGAAGTGCGCCCCAAAAGTTGGACAGTAATTGTCTAGGCTACAGCGGAACGGGCTCTGTACTCTACAGGGCTCAGTCCGCCAAGCTTCGTTTTGATTCGCTTATGGTTGTAGTAATGGATGTATTGATCCAGTCCAGCCTGCAACTGAGCCTCGTTGTCGAAGCTTTCGCGGTAGTAAAACTCTGACTTCAACGTGCCGAAGAAGCTCTCCATCGTGGCGTTGTCATAGCAGTTTCCTTTGCGTGACATGCTTTGTTCCAGCCCCGCCTGTTCTAGTCGCTCGCGATACTTCGAGTGTCGATAGTGCCAGCCTTGATCCGAGTGCAGCATGGGTTTAGCGCCCTCAGGCAGGCGCTCGAGCGCTCGCTCCAGCATGTCGCCAACCAGGGCATATTGGGGGCGTATGGCGGTCTGATAAGCCACGATTTCTCCGTTGTATAAGTCCAAGATCGGCGACAAATACAGCTTTTTTACCTGCCACTTTGAACTCGGTGACATCCGTCACCCATTTCTGATTCGGCTTCTCGGCTTCGAACCGACGAGCCAAGGTATTGGGTGAGATTTCTCCCATCGGCCCTTTATATGCTCTGTATTTCTTGGGTCGCACCGTGCATTTGAGCCCCAACGCTCCCATCAATCGTCGTACCGTTTTACCGTTGATCTGTAGTCTTTCTTTACGCAGTTCCAGCGTCATACGGCGGTAGCCCAGGCGCCCTTTATGCTCTTGCTGAAGGCTCTGGATCGAGGCTTTGACTGAGACGAAACGGTCCGCAACGCCCATGACCTTGAGTTGGTAGTAGTACGTGCTTCGCGCCAGCCCTAGCAGTTTGAGCAGGTCCGCCAGCGGAAAGTCTTGTCTCAGCTCAGTGACTATTCGAGCTTTTTCTTCGCTTCGTTCTCCCGCCTGATCACCGCCTCGCCTAACTCCCCAAGCTTTTTTAGGTAGGCGTTCTCCATGCGCAAATACTGAAGTTCATCCAGCAAGGCTTTGTGCGCAAGCTCCTCTTTTGTAAGGGGGGCGGCAGATTTACGCAGTTTGGCAGGTGGCTTTGGCATAGCGGTATTCAGTCCTTTTTTCCCTGAGGCCAGGGCTTCAATACCGCCACTGTAATACTGCTGCTGCCATCTGCCCACTTGGGTGGAGTCACCCAGGTTGAAAAGCGCCGCTGCGCGGCGCAAGGAGAGGGAGTCGCGCCACATGCGTTGCAGAACGGAAAACTTGAACAGCGCGCTGTAACGCCCACCGGCACTGCTCAGGCTGGCCTCACCGTGCAGCCGGTAAGCCTCCACCCAACGGCGAAGCAAGGTGGGGTCCATTTGAAATTGAGCGGCGATACGGCGAAAACCCCGGCCTCGTTCAAGAAAAGCAGTAATGGCGGAAAGCTTGAACTGCGTCGTGTACTTGCTCATGAAAAAGCCCCAAGAGTTGGATAGGTGTCCAACTTTTGGGGCGCACTTCAATGGCACATTCAACACCTCTGTTGACTGACACACTGCTATCGGGGGCGAGCCCCCTCCCACATTTAATTTCAGCTGATTTTTGACCGTACTACTTCCAGCGATCCGCCGCAGTGTGGTCGCTGTCTCGCCCTTCCACCCAGCGCGCACCTTCCGGGGTGTTTTCCTTCTTCCAGAACGGCGCACGGGTCTTCAGATAGTCCATCACAAACGCACAGGCGTCGAACGCCGCCTGGCGATGTGCACTGGCGGCCGCGACGAACACAATCGGCTCGCCCGGCCCCAGGGCGCCGACGCGGTGCAGCACCTCCAGCTTGAGCAATGGCCAGCGCTGCTCGGCTTCGGCGGTGATCTTGGCCAGGGCCTTTTCGGTCATGCCCGGATAATGTTCGAGGAACATGCCAGACACATCGCGCCCATCGTTGAAGTCGCGCACGTAGCCAACAAAGCTCACCACCGCGCCCACGCCTACATTCGCGGCGTGCATGGCATTGACTTGCGCACCCGGATCAAAGGCCTCCACCTGCACACGAATGGCCACGTTCAGCCTCCGGTCACGGGCGGAAAAAACGCCACGTCATCACCGGCCAAGACCGGTTCGTCCAGATCACACAACTCCTCGTTGCGCGCGCACATCAGGCTCGCCTCGTTAAGTACGGCGAACTCGGGGTCGCTGGCCAAGGCCAGGCGCACGGCATCCACGGTGGCAAACTCGCCTTCCATCTCCAGCGAATCGAAGCCCACCGCCTCGGCGTAACGCGCAAAAAACAATACGTTGATGCTCATGCCTGGTCTGCCTTGAAATGCCCGCTCTTGCCGCCGAGTTTTTCCAGCAGGCGAATGTTTTCGATGGTCATGCCGCGATCCACCGCCTTACACATATCGTAAATGGTCAGTGCGGCGACGCTGGCGGCGGTCAACGCTTCCATCTCCACGCCGGTCTGCCCCGAGAGCTTGCAGCGCGCGACGATATGTACGGTATTTTCCCCTTCAGCGGCCAGCTCGACCTTGACGCCCGTCAGCATCAGCGGATGGCACAGGGGAATCAGATCACTGGTCTTTTTGGCCGCCTGGATCCCGGCGATACGGGCCACGGCGAACACGTCGCCCTTGGGGTGGGCACCGTCGACAATCATTTTGAGGGTCTCGGGCAGCATGCGCACCCGCGCTTCGGCCACCGCCTCACGGAACGTCACGGACTTGTCGGTGACGTCGACCATATGGGCGCGACCTTGGGAATCGAGATGAGTCAGCACGAGGCCTCCTTGAGGCAGCAAAAAAGCTAAAAGCTGCAAGCGGCAGGTCAAAAGCTCACCGGACCCACTTGCAGCTTGTAGCTTAAAGCTTGCGACTCAGAGATGCGACTCTGCGTATTCCGCCAGAATCGAGCGAGGCACCCCTTGCAGCGCGATATGCACGCCGTTCGGGAAATCCTTGAAGCGTTCGGTCAGGTAGGTCAGCCCGGAACTGGTCGCGGACAGGTAAGGGGTGTCGATCTGTGCCAGGTTGCCCAGGCACACCACTTTGGAACCGGCGCCGGCACGGGTGATGATGGTTTTCATCTGGTGCGGCGTGAGGTTCTGGCATTCGTCGATCAGGATCAGGCTCTGCTGGAAGCTGCGACCTCGGATGTAGTTGAGGGATTTGAACTGCAACGGCACTTTGCTGAGGATGTAGTCGACGCTGCCATGGGTGTTTTCGTCATCCATGTGCAAGGCTTCGAGGTTGTCGGTGATCGCCCCCAGCCACGGTTCCATTTTTTCCGCTTCGGTGCCGGGCAGGAAGCCGATTTCCTGGTCCAGGCCCTGCACGCTGCGGGTGGCGATGATGCGGCGATAGCGCTTGGTGACCATGGTCTGTTCGATGGCGGCCGCCAGGGCCAGGATGGTTTTACCGGAACCGGCGGCACCGGTCAGGTTCACCAGATGGATATCCGGATCCAACAGCGCATACAGCGCCAGGCTTTGGTAGATATCACGCGGTTTCAGGCCCCAGGCTTCCTGGTGCAACAGGGGTTCCTGATGCAGGTCGAGGATCAGCAGCTTGTCGACCTGGATCTCTTTGATCCAGCCCACGAAGCCCTGTTCGTCGATGATGAATTCATTGATATGCACCGCCGGCAGGTTGTCGATCAGTTGTACCTGATGCCAGGTGCGGCCATGGTCCTGACGGGTTTCCACCTTGCTGACACGGTCCCAGAACGAACCGGTCATGGTGTGATACCCACGGGATAGCATCGAAACGTCGTCGACCAGTTGGTCGGTGCTGTAGTCCTCGGCCGCGATCCCACATGCGCGAGCCTTGAGGCGCATATTGATGTCTTTGGTCACCAGCACCAGACGCAGGTCCTTGTCACGCGCGTGCAGGTCGATCAATTGGTTGATGATTTTGTTGTCGTTCAGGTTTTCCGGCAGCAGGCTGTTGGGCTCGCTGCGCTTGCTCATCAGAATCGACAGCAAGCCCTTGGGTCCGCTCTTGCCGCGCTGGATCGGCACACCGACTTCAACATCTTCAGGCGAGGCCTCGCCCAGGGTCTTGTCGATCAGGCGGATGGCCTGGCGACATTCGGCGGCAACGCTGTGGTGGCCGCTTTTGAGTTTGTCGAGCTCCTCAAGCACGATCATCGGGATGGCGACGTGGTGTTCTTCGAAATTGAGCAGTGCGTTTGGATCGTGGATCAATACATTCGTATCAAGCACATAAAGGATTGGCTGGTCGGAAGAAGGGTTACGTCCATGATCATCCATACTCGGTCACCTTTTGTGGGAGCCAGTCGACGCAATACCTGGGCGGTGCTGCGCCTCGATTCGACCACCGAATGCACCTGAGTGACGTCAAGTGCATGCCCACATGAGGAGTCTTGGAAGACGCCACCTGTGCTGCAGGTTTCGGCGATCTGACTTCGTAATACCGCAAAACGTGTGACAGGAAAAAGCACTTTGACGCTTTTTTGAAGTTTATTTTTCAGGATGACGAATAGCACTAGCCGAGTGCCAGCTGCGCCGTTAAAGTCGGAAGTCCGCCTGCATCGAAATGTCGCACAAAATCACCCCGAAACTTGCGCAAACCCAACAGGGCCGGGCACTTCATCGAAACGCTTCGCGACAGTCCTGCCAACCCAGGCCGCTCTGCGCGGTCGCCTGCAGCAACCACGGCAATGCCACCCGCGCCTTGTCCTGAGTGTCGTGAAACACAATCACGCCTTTGCGCCATAACAGCATCAGCGTGAGCACGCGCTGCGCCGATTCTTCAGCCTTGAGCTTGCCCGGCTCGTCCTGGGAATCGATGTCCCACAACGCCACCTGCAAGCCCTGTGATTGGAAAAACCCCTGGCTGTCCGCGCGGCGCTGGCCATAGGGTGGGCGAAACAGCGGCAGGTAGTTTTCCGGCATCAGGTTCTGCACCAGCGCAGCGCTGCGGGTGATCGAGCTTTGCCAGTCCACCCAATGGCTATGGGAACGGTACTGCCAGCCCTGGGTGCCCACACACTGGCCTTGGTACAGCGCCTGCACGTCGGCGGCGGA